CGAGGTGGAATTTTGGGATTTGGGATCTCTGGCATTTGGGATTTTTGGGATTTGGGATCTCTGGGATTTGGGATAACCCCCGCTCAGGATTCCCTAAATCCCACGTGGGATTTTGGGATCTCTGGGATTTGGGATCTCTGGGATTTGGGGATTTTTGGGATTTGGGATCATTCCCAGCTAGATTCCCTAAATCCCAGGGTGGGATTTGGGATTTTTGGGATTTGGGATCGCCCCCGCTCAGGATTCCCCAAATCCCCGGTGGGATTTTGGGATTTCTGGGATTTGGGATCTCTGGGATTTGGGATCTCTGGGATTTGGGATAACCCCCGCTCAGGATCCCCTAAATCCCAGGTGGGATTTTGGGATTTCTGGGATTTCGGATCCCTGGGATTTTGGGATTTCTGGGATTTGGGATCCCCCCCGCTCAGGATTCCCCAAATCCCCGCTCCAGCCCCAATTCCCGACCCCGCGGCGCCACCTCGTGGCCGATCCCAAAAAAACCCAAATTCCCGGAAAAATGGGAAAAAATTCCCAAATTTCTCCCTCTCCAAAAGGGAAACAACCCGGCAGGGCAAAGCTCCCAGCGCTAATTAAGAATTCCTAATTAATCCTAATGAGCCGTCCTCATTCCTGGAAAAAAAATCCAGAGTTTTTATGGAATTAATTCTTTTTTTGGGTGATTTTTCTGCTGGAAATTGGGATTTCCTCCTTTAAAAATCCAAATTTTTCCCATGAAAATGGCAGGATCGATCTCCCTGATTAATTAATCATTAATCACCTGTAATTATAAATTAAAAGTAAAATTAAAATATCATTAATACTTTATAAATTGTATTTATAAAGAAATAATATCTACTACAATTATATAAAATTATATTTATAGTGTATAATATTGTAATTTATGATTTGATATTAATTAAAATGAATAATTATCAGCAGGAAGGCTCCAGAGATATCCCAAAATTTCAAGGGATTATTGGAATTGGGAATGCTTGTGGCCGGTCCCAAAAAACCCCCAAATTCCCGGAAAAATGGGAAAAAATTCCCAAATTTCTCCCTCTCCAAAAGGGAAACAACCCGGCAGGGCAAAGCTCCCAGCGCTAATTAAGAATTCCTAATTAATCCTAATGAGCCGTCCTCATTCCTGGAAAAAAAATCCAGAGTTTTTATGGAATTAATTCTTTTTTTGGGTGATTTTTCTGCTGGAAATTGGAATTTCCTCCTTTAAAAATCCAAATTTTTCCCATGAAAATGGCAGGATCGATCTCCCTGATTAATTAATCATTAATCACCTGTAATTATAAATTAAAAGTAAAATTAAAATATCATTAATACTTTATAAATTGTATTAATAAAGAAATAATATCTACTACAATTATATAAAATTATATTTATAGTGTATAATATTGTAATTTATGATTTGATATTAATTAAAATGAATAATTATCAGCAGGAAGGCTCCAGAGATATCCCAAAATTTCAAGGGATTATTGGAATTGGGAATGCTGAAGGAAAGACACTGAGACATCCAAGGGAAGCTGGAAAATCCGACTGGAAAAAGGGAAAAAAATCAGGAAAAATGAATATTTTTCATCATTTTATTTATGAACTGAAATATTCCCAATCCCGTTTTTCCCCCCATGGAATTTTCTTCCCAAAAAAAGCCCCACAAAGTCGATTTTTAAGGGGTTTTTATTATGAATAAATCGCTTTACAACGCAGCCCTTCCACTCCTCTGAGCTTGGAATCTTCAGGAAAAAGGAGAAAAATCCCAAAATAATCCAGGATTTTTTATTAAAAATGAAGAATCTGTGGAGAAATTCCCAAACTTTTAAATCCACGGAATTGCAGCCTGGGATTTCAAGGATTTATTCCAAGATTTTATCCTGAGGGAGAGGTTGAAATTTCATTTTTCTGGGTTTTTTTTTGGGGGAAAAGCTGAATTCCCAGGAAAACACCAAACAAGCCCAAAAAAACGGGAATAAAAATTCAATTCCCAAATCCTGGAATCCACAGGGATCCCACAAATCTTCCTCCAAATCCAGGGAATTCCAAAGAATTGGAATTTTGGGGTTTAAATGCAACAAATTTTTAGGGAAAAACAAAAAAAAAATGGGGTTGGTTTTAAAGAATTGAATAAAATTTCAGGTTTTAGTTCAGCAGATGAATCCCAAAAGAATTTTGGGATTTGGGACAAAATATTTCTGGAATCCCAAAGGAATTTTGGGGTTTTTTTAAAAAGAATCGAAGCAAAACTTGAAGTAAATGGAGCCAAATTTGGGATTTTGCATCAAAAAATCCCAAAGGAATTTTGGGGCTGGGATTTGGGGTTAAGGGGGTGAAATATTTCCTGAATCCCAAAGGAATTTTGGGGTTTTTTTAAAAAGAATCGAAGCAAAACTTGAAGTAAATGGAGCCAAATTTGGGATTTTGCATCAAAAAATCCCAAAGGAATTTTGGGGCTGGGATTTGGGGTTAAGGGGGTGAAATATTTCCTGAATCCCAAAGGAATTTTGGGGTTTTTTGGAAAGAATTGAAGCAAAACTTGAAGTAAATGGAGGCAAATTTGGGATTTTGCCTCAAAAAAACCCAAAGGAATTTTGGGGTTTTTTGGAAAGAATTGAAGCAAAACTTGAAGTAAATGGAGCCAAATTTGGGATTTTGCCTCAAAAAAACCCAAAGGAATTTTGGGGTTTTTTGGAAAGAATTGAAGCAAAACTTGAAGTAAATGGAGCCAAATTTGGGATTTTGCCTCAAAAAAACCCAAAGGAATTTTGGGGTTTTTTGGAAAGAATTGAAGCAAAACTTGAAGTAAATGGAGCCAAATTTGGGATTTTGCCTCAAAAAAACCCAAAGGAATTTTGGGGTTTTTTGGAAAGAATTGAAGCAAAACTTGAAGTAAATGGAGCCAAATTTGGGATTTTGCCTCAAAAAAACCCAAAGGAATTTTGGGGTTTTTTGGAAAGAATTGAAGCAAAACTTGAAGTAAATGGAGCCAAATTTGGGATTTTGCCTCAAAAAAACCCAAAGGAATTTTGGGGTTTTTTGGAAAGAATTGAAGCAAAACTTGAAGTAAATGGAGCCAAATTTGGGATTTTGCCTCAAAAAAACCCAAAGGAATTTTAAAAAAAAGGGGTTGGTTTTAAAGAATTGAAGAAAATTTCAGGTTTTAGTTCAGCAGATGAATCCCAAAAGAATTTTGGGATTTGGGGCAAAATATTTCTGGAAGCCCAAAGGAATTTTGGGGTTTAAATACAACAAATTTTTAGGGAAAAACAAAAAAAAAATGGGGTTGGTTTTAAAGAATTGAATAAAATTTCAGGTTTTAGTTCAGCAGATGAATCCCAAAAGAATTTTGGGATTTGGGACAAAATATTTCTGGAATTCCAAAGGAATTTTGGGGTTTTTGGAAAGAATTGAAGCAAAACTTGAAGTAAATGGAGGCAAATTTGGGATTTTGCCTCAAAAAAACCCAAAGGAATTTTGGGGTTTTTTGGAAAGAATTGAAGCAAAACTTGAAGTAAATGGAGCCAAATTTGGGATTTTGCCTCAAAAAATCCCAAAGGAATTTTGGGGCTGGGATTTGGGGTTAAGGGGGTGAAATATTTCCTGAATCCCAAAGGAATTTTGGGGTTTTTTGGAAAGAATTGAAGCAAAACTTGAAGTAAATGGAGTCAAATTTGGGATTTTGCATTAAAAAAACCCAAAGGAATTTTGGGGTTTTTTAGAAAAAATCGAAGCAAAACTTGAAGTAAATGGAGGCAAATTTGGGGTTTTACCTCTGACCCAGGAGCTCCTTTGTGATTCCCACCCCAAAATTGGAATTGGGCTGTTCCCTCCATCCAGAGCCCAAAATGCTGAAATTTGGGACAGTGAAACCTGGTTTTGGGACACAAACCCCCATTTTTGGGACAATAAAACCAACAGATTTGACTTCTCACCGGCAGCAAAACCCAAAACTTCACCAGAACCCAGGAAGGGCAAAAAATCCCAAATTTTCCACCCACTCACCAGAACCCAGGAAGGGAAAAAATCCCAATTTTTCCACCCAAAAAGTCCCATTCCAAAGGGTCCCACTCATCCTAAATTGAAAACTCAACAAGTCAAAATTTGCTGAAGATCTTCAATGTTCAAAGCACAGATCAAGGAGAACTCTACAAATCAACGTGGCTCCCCCACAATGCTTTGACTTCCCAACCCAAAATTCCAACACGACCCAGGAAGGGCAAAAAACCCCAAATTTTCCACCCAAAAAGTCCCACTCCAAAGGGTCCCACCCATCCTGAATGAAAAACTCAACGAAGTCAAAATTTTCTGAAGATCTTCAATGTTCAAAGCACAGATGGAGGAGAACTCGACAAACCAAAGTGAGTCACCAACATTTTTTTGGCTCCTGAACCCAAAACTCCACCAGAACCCAGGAAGGGCAAAAAATCCCAAATTTTCCACCCAAAGAGTCCCATTCCTAAAAGTCCCACTCATCCTGAATTGAAAACTCAACGGAGTTAAAATTTGCTGAAGATCTCCAATGTTCAAAGCACAGATCGAGGAGAACTCTACAAACCAACGTGGCTCCCCCACAATGCTTTGACTTCCCAACCCAAAATTCCAACACGACCCAGGAAGGGCAAAAAACCCCAAATTTTCCACCCAAAAAGTCCCACTCCAAAGGGTCCCACCCATCCTGAATGAAAAACTCAACGAAGTCAAAATTTTCTGAAGATCTTCAATGTTCAAAGCACAGATGGAGGAGAACTCGACAAACCAAAGTGAGTCACCAACATTTTTTTGGCTCCTGAACCCAAAACTCCACCAGAATCAACGTGTCCCACCAAGCCCCACCACAAGCCAGGCAGGACAAAACCTCCAAATTTTCCACCCAAAGAGTCCCATTCCTAAATGTCCCATTCCAAAGAGTCCCATTCCAAAGAGTCCCATTCCAAAGAGTCCCATTCCAAAGAGTCCCACCGTCCTGAATGAAAAACTCAACCGAATAAAAATTTGCTGAAGATCTTCACTGTTCAAACCACAGATGGAGCAGAACTCTACAAACCAAAATGGTTCCCCCAGCCCCACCACGACCCAGGCGGGGCCAAACCCCAAAATTCCCCCCCAAAGAGCCCCGATCACCCCAAAACCCCACTAAAATTTGGTCTTGGCAGGATTTCACTCCTGGGCTATGCTCCTCAGCACGTACTTGACTGTGTAGGCGAAGGCGGCGAAGCCCACGATGACAAACAAGTTCGCCAGGGCTCCCCCCAAGAGTCCGTGGTTCCTGGGGGGCTGCTGCAGCCCCCCGGCGTGCCCGGGCGCCAGGGCCACGTGCCCGTGGAGCAGGGGGTGCCCGTTGTGCCCGAAGTGCGCGTCCCCGTCCGGCACCACGTCGGGGAGGGGCAGGGAGGGGGGTCTGGAGCTCAGCTCGTCTTGTGCTTTCTGCTTTTGCTTCATTTCCTGGAAAAGGGGAGAGGATGGAGTGGTGAGAAGGGAAATTGGGGTGATTTGGGTGGTTTTGGTTGATTTTCCTGCATGGGAAAGTGAAATTTGGGGGGAGGCAGTGAGGGGGGTCTGGAGCTCAGCTCGTCTTGTGCTTTCTGCTTTTGCTTCATTTCCTGGAAAAAGAGAGAGGAAATTGGGGTGATTTGGGGGCTTCTGGTTGAGTTCCTGCAGGGGGGAACAAAAAATTCAATTGAATTTGTGGTGATTTGGGTGGTTTTGGTTGGTTTTCTGCATGGGAGAGTGGAATTTGGGGGGGGGCAGTGAGGGGGGTCTGGAGCTCAGCTCGTCTTGTGCTTTCTGCTTTTGCTTCATTTCCTGGAAAAGGGGAGAGGATGGAGTGGTGAGAAGGGAAATTGGGGTGATTTGGGTGGTTTTGGTTGAGTTCCTGCATAGGGGAACAAAAAATTCAATGGAATTTGGGGTGATTTGGGTGGTTTTGGTTGAGTTCCTGCATAGGGGAACAAAAAATTCAATGGAATTTGGGGTGTTTGGGGTGGTTTTGGTTGATTTTCTGTATGGGAGAGTGGATTTTGGGGGGGGGCAGGGAGGGGGGTCTGGGGCTCAGCTCGTCTTGTGCGTTCTGCTTTTGCTTTGTTTCCAGGAAAAGGGGAGAGGAAATTGGGGTGATTTGGGTGTTCTTGCCTCATTTCCTGGAAAAGGGGAGAGGAAATTCAGTGGACAAGTGGAATTTGTGGTGATTTGGGTGGCTTTGTTTGATTTCCTGCATGGGAGAGTGGAATTTGGGGAGGGGCAGGGAGGGGGGTCTGGAGCTCAGCTCGTCTTGTGCCTCTGTTTTTGGTTAATTTCCTGGAAAAGGGGAGAGGAAATTGGGGTGATTTGGGTGTTCTTGCCTCATTTCCTGGAAAAGGGGAGAAGAAATTCAGTGGACAAGTGGAATTTGTGGAGATTTGGGTGGTTTTGGTTGGTTTTCTGCATGGGAGAGTGGAATTTGGGGAGGGGCAGGGAGGGGGGTCTGGAGCTCAGCTCGTCTTTTGCTTTCTGCTTTTGCTTCATTTCCTGCAAAAGGGGAGAGAAAATTCAGTGGGAAAATGGAATTTGTGGACTTTTGTTTGATCTCCTGGAAAAGGGGATGAAAACTTGGTGGGAAAGTGGAATTGTGGTGATTTGGGTGTGTTTTTGTTTGATTTCCTGCATGGGAGAGTGGAATTTGGGGAGGGGCAGGGAGGGGGGTCTGGAGATGAAGAATGAATAATTAATGAAGGTTTCCTTACCTCCACCACTTCAGGGAAGAGCTCACAGAAGACTTTGTCTTTTAAATTAAATGCTAAGCTCTGTGCAGCCAGCTGCCTTTTCTGGGGAGGAAAAACAGATTTTTCAGCAATTCCACGAAAATTCAATTAACTTATTTCAATTCCACACCTATTTCCCACCAGAACGGTGCAAACCTCACACCAAGTGGCTTTTAACATTTAAAACATCACATTTGTGAGGATTATTGACTAAAATTGAGGTTTATAGGCATAAATTTTATTAAGTTTTGATCCTGTGGACCTGTGGCAGAGACTGGAAAAAGGAACCAAATCCCAGCCAGGCTTTAATCCCTGAGATCTCCCAAATTTTCCTGAATTTTCCCAAATTCCCAAAGCTTCACAAGTGGTCTGTAGCTCTTAAAATTGAGGATTTTTCACTGAGATTAATGTTTATAGACACGAATTATGTTCATTTTTGATCCTGTGGGATCAAGGTCAAGGAAAAAAAAGGAATCAAATCCCAACCAGGCTTTGTCCCTGAGATATCCCAAATTCCCAAAGTTTCCCAAATTCCCAAAGCTTCCCAAATTCCCAAAGCTTCTCAAATTCCCAAAGCTTCCCAAATTCCCAAAGCTTCCCAAATTCCCAAAGCTTCCCAAGTAGTCTGTTGCTCTTAAAAATTGAGTATTTTTCACTGAGATGAATGTTTATAGACACAAATTATGTTCATTTTTGATCCTGTGGGATCAAGGTCAAGGAAAAAAAAGGAATCAAATCCCAGCCAGGCTTTGTCCCTGAGATATCCCAAATTCCCAAAGTTTCCCAAATTCCCAAAGCTTCCCAAATTCCCAAAGCTTCTCAAATTCCCAAAGCTTCCCAAATTCCCAAAGCTTCCCAAATTCCCAAAGCTTCCCAAGTAGTCTGTTGCTCTTAAAAATTGAGTATTTTTCACTGAGATGAATGTTTATAGACACAAATTATGTTCATTTTTGATCCTGTGGGATCAAGGTCAAGGAAAAAAAAGGAATCAAATCCCAGCCAGGCTTTGTCCCTGAGATATCCTAAATTCCCAAAGCTTCCCAAATGGTTTCTAACACTTAAAACATCACATTTGTGAAGAATTTTTCACTAAAATTGATGTTTTGTTGATTCTGTGTGATCACAGTCAAGGAAAAAAAAGGAAACAAATCCCAGTCAGGCTTTATCCCCGAGACATCCCAAATTCCCAAAGCTTCCCAAATTCCCAAAGCTTCCCGAATTCCCAAGGCTTCCCAAGTAGTCTGCAGCTCTTAAAACTGAGGATTTTTCACTGAGATTAATGTCTATAGACACGAATTATGTTCATTTTTGATCCTGTGGGATCAAGGTCAAGGAAAAGAAAGGAATCAAATCCCAGCCAGGCTTGTCCCTGAGATATCCTAAATTCCCAAAGCTTCCCAAATTCCCAAAGCTTCCCAAATTCCCAAAGCTTCCCAAATTCCCAAAGCTTCCCGAATTCCCAAAGCTTCCCAAGTAGTCTGTAGCTCTTAAAAATTGAGTATTTTTCGGTCAAGGAAAAGAAAGAAATCAAATCCCAGCCAGGCTTGTCCCTGAGATATCCTAAATTCCCAAAGCTTCCCGAATTCCCAAGGCTTCCCAAGTAGTCTGCAGCTCTTAAAACTGAGTATTTTTCACTGTGATGAATGTCTATAGACAGGAGTTATGTTCATTTTTGACCCTGTGGGATCAAGGTCAAGGAAAGCCAAGGAGCCCGGCTGTACCCCGGGGATCTGTGGGGTTTCCCTGGATTTGCCCAGGCTCTCCCAGCACTCACGGTGAACTCGGAGGTCTCGATGCTGCCCAGGGTGGGCCCCTTCTCCACCATGAAGCTCAGCAGCCCCGTCAGGATGGTGGACACCGACCACGCCGGGTTCCAGGTGTCCGGGTGGAAATCCGTGATGGACAGACACAACCTTCCAGAGCAGGAGAAACAGCAGTGGGGAACTGGGAATGGCTGGGATGGGAATGGCTGGGATGGGAATGGCTGGGATGGGAATGGCTGGGATGGGAATGGCTGGGATGGGAATGGCTGGGATGGGAATGGCTGGGATGGGAATGGCTGGGATGGGAATGGCTGGGATGGGAATGGCTGGGATGGGAATGGCTGCAGTGTGGGAAGCAGTCCTGGATTTGGGATGGGAATGGCTGCAGTGTGGGAAAGGGTCCTGGATTTGGGATGGGAATGGCTGGGATGGGAATGGCTGGGATGGGAATGGCTGCAGTGTGGGAAGGGGTCCTGGATTAGGATGGGACCCAGCTGGAATGGGAATGGCTGGAAAGTTGGGAAGAACTCCTTGGTTTGGGATGGGAATGGCTGGGAGGATGGGAAGGAGTCCTGGATTTGGGATGGGAATGGCTGGAACATTGGGAAGCAGTCCTGGATTTGGGATGGGACACAGCTGGGATGGGAATGGCTGCAATGCTGGGAAGGAGTCCTGGATTTGGGATGGGAATGGCTGGATGGGAATGGCTGCAGTGTGGGAAGCAGTCCTGGATCTGGGATGGGAATGGCTGCAGTGTGGGAAGCAGTCCTGGATCTGGGATGGGAATGGCTGCAGTGTGGGAAGCAGTCCTGGATCTGGGATGGGAATGGCTGCAGTGTGGGAAGCAGTCCTGGATCTGGGATGGGAATGGCTGCAGTGTGGGAAGCAGTCCTGGATCTGGGATGGGAATGGCTGCAGTGTGGGAAGCAGTCCTGGATCTGGGATGGGAATGGCTGCAGTGTGGGAAGCAGTCCTGGATCTGGGATGGGAATGGCTGCAGTGTGGGAAGCAGTCCTGGATCTGGGATGGGAATGGCTGCAGTGTGGGAAGCAGTCCTGGATCTGGGATGGGAATGGCTGCAGTGTGGGAAGCAGTCCTGGATCTGGGATGGGAATGGCTGCAGTGTGGGAAGCAGTCCTGGATCTGGGATGGGAATGGCTGCAGTGTGGGAAGCAGTCCTGGATCTGGGATGGGAATGGCTGCAGTGTGGGAAGCAGTCCTGGATCTGGGATGGGAATGGCTGCAGTGTGGGAAGCAGTCCTTACCTTGTGTTGCACTTGAACCTTCCATTGGGGGTGATCATATAAATACTGGGGGGTTTGAAAGGGAATTCCCGAGGGAATATTAGCTTTCCGTGGTAATATCCACCTGCAAAGCAGCCAAAAATGGGTTAGATTAGTTGTATTTAATAAAAAAATTCCATCCTCAATTTCCCTGCTTTATCCCTTCTTCTAAACCACCTAAATGGGTTAAAGAAATTATATTTAATTAATAATTCCCACCCCAATTCAAATTCCCATCCCTAATTAGTCTACTTTATCCCTTCTCCTAAATTACTCCAAAACATGTTAAATAAATTTTATTTAATAAATACATATTGAATTATATTTAATAAACGATTCCCACTCTTGATAAGAGAATGATTGACAGCAGCATCCCTCTCTCTTCACCTCTTTCCCAGGTTTTGGAGCTGTTTTTAGTGGGATTGTTTTCCCTTTTCCCACCCCCTGGAATTCCTGAATTCCCAAGCAAACCCCCAGGCAGGGATTTACCTTCATATGGGGTCAGCTCAGGCCCTCGAACCACGTAGTGCCTGCAAAAGAGGGGAATGCAACACTGGGAAACCACAAGTACCCCAAAAATCAGGATCGGCCTCAGGGAAAGTTTCCCCCTCAGCCAGGAGAGAGGGAGAGAGACCTGACAGCCTGGGAAACCTTCTCCAGGAGAGAGGGACAATGCACCCCAACTCCCAACCCAATTCCCAGAGGTGAGGGACAATCCACCCCAGCTCCCAATTCCCATCCCCAGTTCCAGTTTCCAGGAATGAAAAACAATCAACCCCAATTCCCATCTGAATTCTCTACCTCCATCCCCAATTCCCTCCCCAGTTCTCCATCTCCAATTCCACAACTCTCACCCCAATTCCAATTCCCACCCCAATTCTCCATCCCCAGCTCCCATCCACATTCCCTCCCCAGTTTCCACCCCAATTCTCCACCTCCAATCCCCATTCCCATCCCCAACTCCCACCCCCATTCCCATCCCAATCCTCTCCCCAATTCCCAACCCCATCTTCAAATTCCTACCCTAATCCCCATCCCCAATTTCCATTCCCCATCCCCCAACTCCCATTCCCATCCCCAATTCCCATTCCATTCCCATCCCCATTTCCCAACTCCCATTCCCATTTCTATTCCCATCCCCATTTCCCAACTCCCATTCCCATTTCTATTCCCATCCCCAATTCCCAACTCCCATTCCCATTTCTATTCCCATCCCCAATTCCCATTTCTATTCCCATCCCCATTTCCCAACTCCCACGCCCGTCCCTCCCCGCCCGCTGCCGGCGCAGCCCCGCTCACCTCTCCGCGGCCGCCAGGCCCCGGGCGGCCCCTCCTGCCCGCGGCCGAGGGAGGGAGGCAGGCGGGGAGCGGCGGCCGGGCCGCGATGGCGGCGGAGCGGGCGGGGCGGGCAGCGGCGGCCGCGGCTCCCTCACGGCTCCAGCCAAGATGGCGGCGCGGCCGGGAAGGAGCGGCGGCGCTTCCGGGGCCCGCGCGGGTTCCGCTTCCGGGGCCGCGAGCGCCGTGGCGGGAACCGTGAGGGGAGGGAGGGAAAGGCGGGAACCGTGAGGGGAGGGCGGCAGGGAACCGTGAGGGCGGGCCCCGAGCACGATCTCTGTCGCGACATAAAAGCGAGAAAATGTCGGGATCGCCCCGCGGCCCCAGCGGGGAGGATGGGTCGGATACTCCAACTCCTTCTTAACCAGGAATGTCCCCTAAAAATTAATTTGTAACAAGGGATAGTTCATAAAAACGCCTTTTTAATGAGGAATAGCCCCTAAAAACTTCTTAACCAGGAATGTCCCCTAAAAGTTCATTTTTTAACAAAGGGTATCCCATAAAAACTACTAATTGATGAGGAATAGCTCCTAAAAACTCAATTTTACTGAGGAAAATCCCATAAAAACTCCTTTTAAATGAGCAATATTCCATAAAAACTCCTTCTTAACCAGGAATATCCCCTAAATACTCATTTCTGAGGAATATTCACTAAAAACTCCTTTTTAATAAGGAATATCCCCCAAAAAATCAATTTGTAACAAGGGATAGTTCATAAAAACGCCTTTTTAATGAGGAATAGCCCCTAAAAACTTCTTAACCAGGAATGTCCCCTAAAAGTTCATTTTTTAACAAAGGGTATCCCATAAAAACTACTTGTTAATGAGGAATGGCTCCTAAAAACTCATTTTTACTGAGGAAAATCCCACAAAAACTCCTTTTAAATGAGGAATATTCCATAAAAACTCCTTCTTAACCAGGAATATCCCCTAAATACTCATTTCTGAGGAATATTCACTAAAAACTCCTTTTTAATAAGGAATATCCCCCAAAAAAATCTCCTTTTTAATGAGGAATAGCCCATAAAAACTCCTTTTTACTGAGGAAAATCCCATAAAACTCCTTTTAAATGAGGAATATCCCCTAAAAACTCATTTTTAACGAGGAATATCCCATAAAAACTGCTTTTAAATGAGGAATATCCCCAAAAAACCTCATTTTTACTGAGGAGTATCCCCTAAAATCTCCTTTTTAACAAGGAACATCCCAAAGAAATCTCCTTTTTCATGAGGAATATTCCATAAAAATTCCTTTTTGCTGAGGAAAATACCATTAAAAATTCCCTTTAAATGAGGAATATTCCATAAAAACGCCTTTTTAGTGAGGAAAATCCCCTAAAAACTCCTTTTAAATGAGAAATATCTCAAAAAAACCTCATTTTTAACGAGGCTTGAGCAATTAAGGGGAGGTGACAAAGCCGTGCCAGGGCAGGTGACATCAGCAGAACTCTGCACAAACAGCAATTAACAATTTAATTAATATTTTGATTAACAATTAGTCCCATGTCATCAGGGCTGCCTGGCAGGTGAAGCACCAGGGGTGTAGAAAAATTAATTTTTTATTTATGTAGTTGATGTTTATGGGAGTCAAATGAGATTTTTAATGTAGAAAATTAATTTTGTTATGTAGAAAATAGATTTATTTTCAAATAAATTTTTTTTAAAAAGTAATAATATTTTTTAAATTTTTTTTAATATAATTTTTTAAAGCTTTATTTGCAATTCCCTGCTCCACCGCTGTGGGGAAACCCTCCAGGTGGGAATCGCAGCTGGATTGATCCCAAAATAAACCCTGCCCAGGGCTGGGAGCGGAGCTGCATTGTGCAATCCCCAGTTTTAATTAGGACTTGTTAATGAGCGCGTGGCTCCTCCATCCCCTCCTTCCCTGCTGCCACTGCAGCTCCTCTTCCTCCTGCTCTGCTCCAGCTGGAATTCCTGCCCTGGGAATTGCTGCCAAGCCTTGGGAATCCGTTCTGGGGCTGTGCCAGGAGCTGGGAGGGATTTCCAGCTCTTTTTCCAGGAATTTTTTGGGATTTTTGGCAGCTGGGAGCTGCCACCTGCTCCAGTTCCAGCTGGAATTCCTGCCCTGGGAATCGATTTTGGGGCTGTTCCAGGAGCTGGGAGGGATTCCTATCTCTTTTTCCAGGAATTTTTTGGGATTCCTCATCTGCTCCAGCTGGAATTCCTGGACTGGGAATCGATTTTGGGGCTGCTCCAGGAGCTGGGAGGGATTTCCCCCTCTTTTTCCAGGATTTTTTTTTTTGGGATTTTTGGCAGCTGGGAGCTGCCACCTGCTCCAGTTCCAGCTGGAATTCCTGGATTGGGAATTTCTGCCAAGCCTTGGGAATCCATTTTGGGGCTGCTCCAGGAGCCGGGAGTGATTTCCAGCTCTTGTTCCAGGAATTTTGTGGGGATTCCTCATCTGCTGCAGCTCCCAGCTGGAATTCTTGGATTGGGAATCCATTTTGGGGCTGCTCCAGGAGCCGGGAGTGATTTCCAGCTCTTGTTCCAGGAATTTTGTGGGGATTCCTCATCTGCTCCAGCTCCCAGCTGGAATTCCTGCCTTGGGAATCCATTTTGGGGCAGCTCCAGAAGCTGGGAGTGATTCCCACCTCTTTTCCCAGGTTTTTTTTTTTATTATTTTTGGCTTTTTTCAGGAGGGAGCGATGGCGTTTGGAGCTCCAGGATGGCTGCAGCCCTGGTGTCCTCCCAGCAGGGAGGTTCTGGACTTCTCCAACCCTCAGCATTCCCCCAGATCCCCCACCTCTTTTTCCAGGGTTTTTTTTAATTATTTTTGGCTTTTTTCAGGAGGGAGCGATGGCGTTTGGAGCTCCAGGATGGCTGCAGCCCTGGTGTCCTCCCAGCAGGGAGGTTCTGGACTTCTCCAACCCTCAGCATTCCCCCAGATCCCGCTGGGTCTGACTGGAAACCAGAGCTGGAGCAGGAGCAAAACCCATCCCCAGGCAGGATCTCACCCTGGGGACATCTGGGATTTCAGGGGGTGATAAATCCATGAGGAAAGGAACCAGAAGAGGAAGAGAACCCCAAAAAAACCCCAGGAATTTTTATTCCAGAGCAATGCCAGGAGCAGCTGCAGGTTCCTTCCTCCCACAGGTGAGTGAGTGCAAATGAATGCTTGCTCATCCCAGCGGGATTTTAATTTTTATTTTCATTTTCATTTCCGGGCTGGATTTTAACCCTCTGCACCCAGGGCAGGGCTGACGTGGAGCTTGCTCATTAAGGAGGGGTAATTAAGGAATATTTCCACGGCTGGTGATTAACAGATTAGTCATGTGCTCATTGTGCCAGGGAGTTTTATTTTGGAAAATTGGGATTAAAAGCGAGCCCAGCAGGGGTTAAGGGGTGTTGAACCAGCCTGGAGCAGGTTTGGCAGCATTGGGACATCCCAGTTCTGCAGGCTCAGATCCCTGGGAGGAATTGCAGAGAAATCCCCCAGCCAGGCCTCAAACATCACACCAAAAACAATTCAGGGGGTTCCAGGGGAAAAAAAAAAAATCAGGGATTACTGGAGGAAAAACGCAATTTAGGGATTGCCAGAGAAAAAAAAAACAAACAAAAAAAAACCAAAAAAAAACACCCCAAAACAACAGTTCAGGGATTCCCAGAGGAAAAAAAAGCAAAGGAACAAAAGGAATTGAGGGATTGCCAGAGGAAAAAAAAAAACACAAAAAAACATGAATTCAGGAATTCCTAGAGGAATAAAATCAATTGAGGGATTCCTGAAGGAAATTTAGGGGTGCAGAGCTCCAGGAGAGGAGGAAAACCTCCAGAAAATGCAGGAATTCAGCACAAACACCAATTGAGGGATTCCTGAAGGAAATTTAGGGGTGCAGAGCTCCAGGAGAGGAGGAAAACCTCCAGCAAATGCAAGAATTCAGCACAAAAAGCAGTTCAGGGATTCCTGAAGGAAATTTAGGGGTGCAAAGCTCCAGGAGAGGAGGAGAACATCCAGAAACAGGAGGAGTTCAGCACAAAAAGCAATTGAAGGATTGCCAGAGGAAATTCAGGTGTGCAGAGCTGCAGGAGAGCAGGAGAACATCTAGAACATGCAGGAATTCGGCACAAAAAGCAATTGAGGGATTCCTGAAGGAAATTTGGGTGTGCAGAGCTGCAGGAGAGCAGGAGAACATCCAGAACATGCAGGAATTCAGCACAAAAATCATTGCAGGGATTGCCTGAGGAAATGCTGGTGGCCACTGGACCAGGCAGTCCATCCAAGTTGCTGTGGGCAGCAGCTCCCAGTGCCTCCTCCCTTTCCCCTCCTTGCTGTCCCACCCCTCTGGCAGCAGAATTCCCGCTGGGTCGGGAGGCAGAGCCTGCCCTGCAGAGCTCCAGCTGTCTGCTGTGGGCAGCAGCTCCCAGTGCTCCCAGTGCCTCCTCCCTT